TTTTTTGCCAATAAAAGCCTTTAAAACTTATATGCTTATCATTGTTTTTCAGTATACCATAGAAACGTGGAAAAATAATCTACAAATGGTGAAGCAGCAAACTTTTCAAAACACAAAATTTATGTCACTGCCAAAACTTTTGTCCATGACTGTAGTGTTTCTACAAAAATATTAAACAGCACAACTGTTTGACAAAGACATTGATAATAATAAGTCAGTATATTAGAATGATTTCTGAAGGATCATGCAACTCTGAAGACTGGAGTAATGATGCTGAAAATACAGCTTTGCATCAAAGGAATGAATTATATTTAAATATATATTAAAACAGAAAACCGGTATTTTAAGTTGTGCTAATAGAGTTGAGTATTTTAAGTTGTCAGAGTTAAGAGTAGTTATTTTAAAAAAGAGTTTGATACTAATGCGTGACTCATTCGCTTCCTCTTTGTATTTCAGGCTGGTTTGACTGTAAGAGCAGTGCAGAAGTACATGCTGGGGACTGACATGAGCCTCTTCACCACAGAAGACTTGGATGGCAAGCCGCCCATCCAGCCCTACCCCACCATCACAAGCACCGAGCCCGACGACACATACCAGAGCCCACCCTTCACCGAAAACCTGGACCCCAACGCCCCAACCTACCAGGTGCCAATTTACTGAAACGGTGCCTAGCAAAATCCACATGCGATGTCATTGGTGTGTCAGAGTCAGTGTGGATGGCTGGCACTGGTTTTCAAACTGAAGTGGTGTGACAATGTTCATAGGTAGTACCGTTCTGTGAACTTCTGTACAAGATTATGTTGATTGTGATTTCACTTTCGTTCGGAATATTACGTGTTAATTTATCAGCTGGAATGAAACCGTTTAAGGGTTATTAGTGTTTAAAAATGAAAAAGGTTATGTTGCATGTGTTGTATTTAGAGAGTTATGAAGTGCCATGCATCACAAACAATACCTTATTTATTCAGTTTCCATAATGCTGTTGGGTACTGTATATAAGTGCAATATCTGAAACATGGAATCACCAAAACGTTTGACACATTTAAATGTTCTCCAACTAAAAGCTAGGTGGTCTTCTTAAAAAGAGGGTGGCATTTCGCTGTAGATAAGGGTGTCTTATGCATCAAAAGTGTGTAGAAAAGGAGTTGATTCAGTGTTTGATTTAGTGAAGCCACTAAACGTGTTAAGACATAAAGCCAGATATTATTTTGGAAGGAGTTTTGTAGTTTACAGTGCATGAATACTTCTGACTGTATCAAAATATAAAGATGAACTGAATCCCACTAAAAAGATTTCAAACAAATAAGGATTTTTATCAGAGCCACAATCAGTTGGCATTTTAAAATTGAGGAATATAAACATATAATCATTTGAAAAAAGTTAAATTGCCATTTAAAATAAATACTTTTTGAATGCATTTACAAACTTGGACAATGACACCAATTGGTATGTTTTCAACATTAGAAAGAAGTACATTCAAATACACTACCATTCAAAAGTCAGTAAAACATTTTGTTTTTAAAAGAAACGAATGCTTTTATTCAGCAAGGATACATTAAAATGATCAAAAGTGACAGTAAAGACATTTGTAATGTTACAAAATATTTCCATTTTAGATAAATGCTGTTCTTTTGAAATTTATATTTACCAGAAACATTTTGTTTTTAAAAGAAACGAATGCTTTTATTCAGCAAGGATACATTAAAATGATCAAAAGTGACAGTAAAGACATTTGTAATGTTACAAAATATTTCCATTTTAGATAAATGCTGTTCTTTTGAACTTTATATTCACCAGAAAATCCTGAAAACTATTAAGCAGCACAGCTGTTTTCAACATTGATAATAAGAAATGTTTCTTGAGCAGCAAATCAGTATATTATAATGATTTCTGAAAGATCATGTGACACTGAAGACTGGAGTAATGATGCTGAAAATACAGCTTTGCATCACAGGAATAACATTTTAAAATATATTAAAATACAGTTATTTCAAATTTTTATATAATATTACTGTTTTTAGTGTATCTTTGATCAAATAAATGCAGCCTTGTTGAGCAGAAGAAACTTTTAAAAAATCTTACCAACCTCAAACTTTTGAACAGCAGTGCATATGCCAGTATTTTGCTAAATTATTTGTTTGAGATACCCTTCAGATATTCATCAGTTGGCTGTTGTTTAAAAAAAAAAAAGCTGTTTGGTGACCATCATCAGTGCTTTGTCTGATATGTGGTAGATTTTGGTAATGTTTCTGTGTTCAGAGATAGTGCAACATACACAAATGATAGTGATTGTACTTCAATACATGTAAATGGAGTATGTTTGTGAAAGTGGTCAGGGTCTTGTGTTTCCTGTACTTAACTCTGCACTCCTGTTAAAATGCCTCATGGACCAGTATTATGGGAGAGTTTTGGAGTGATTCACTGAGGTATGTTTTGCTGGATCAAAATTTGCACCTCTACAAAAGTATTATAGATGATGAAAAGATGTGAAATTAAAAGCCTTTAGTTTTTGTATTTGTACCTCATTGAAGGACAAAGTGCAAAATTTGCATCAGTAAAAATGCCTTGACCTTGTCCATGACTCTTTTAAAATACATATTGCATACTGTCTCTGCAGGCAATATATCCCATTTTGTGATTGAAAGATGTACACAAAAGATTTGTCGTTGTCAGTCAGAATGTCTTCAGACTGCAGTTGTCAGACATTATGAAAATAAAGACGTTTTTCATGAGTGGATCACCTGTAATGTGCCTTTTTAATGACTCTCACACACCATTATGAGATCATTCTGTTCTGAAAGCCACACCCTGTAACATTTTGAGAGTTCTACATTTAAAAGGAATAGTTCACACAAAAACATTTGCTTTAAATTTACTCACCAACCAAGATGTAGATGAGTTTGTTTCTTCATGGGAACAGATTTGGAGAAATTAAGCATTACACTTGCTCACCAATGGATCCTCTGCAGTGAATGGGTGCCGTCAGAATGAGAGTCCAAACAGCTGATAAAAACATCACAATCATATACA